ATCAGTTAAGATGAACGCGCGTTAAATGCTAACAGCATTGACGTGTAATGATGATTTATGCATCTCAGTTTATTGTTTATTTTGCATTTACCCTGCACAGCATTGGGATCTTGGAGGAATCGTTTAGTGTCATAATGTCTGTTGAATGGGAAAAAATTACCCTATTTCGGGGGCGAATTGAATCATGCATTTCCTTTTTTAGAGGGTCCATAGCCTACTACATAGCTATGAACGAAACAAGGAAATGGAAAATGTTGTGAGCGACCTCTGGAGTACCACAAGGGTCTAACCTTGGACCTGTGTTGTTTTTATTATCCATTAATGACTTGTCTTCCAGTTTGCGGTGTGAGAAATTAGTTTTTGCGGAGTTATCCTTTGCTTCCACAGTGATAAACAACCTGTTTTGTCCTTACAGTATTCCAGTACCATACAAATAATTTTGAGCACTATATCTTTCGCTATTGCTCTTTATCTACTATAATCCAAAATCATTTTTTTTATACAAGACACACACATGGCTGTCAAGTAATCTGAATGGTTGTGTAGCATTAGATTCATTGGTGGAAACTGTTGTTTACGTAGTTTTTAGGAGTGTTGGTGGTTTGGGGTAAATAAAATAGAGATATAGTTAAAACTTTACTCCCTATCGCAATATTTGGGAAATTGTAACGAAGCACCTCTTTTCCGCGTTGAACCTACCTACTTTCATGATCACCCGGTGCTTCGTTATAAAAGTATTTGTGCTGGTTGTAGGAGTTGAAAATAGGATAGAAGGTAAAGGTTTTGTCATTTAGAAGACGAGGGCGAATTAGTATTTTAGAATGTCAGCTCCGTTAAGCCATTATTAGCATTAAAACGGCAAGGCCATGCAGGTTTACGTCGGTATCAGTTGGCCACTGCCAATCGTTGCTACGAATTTTAAGTTACGCTTAAGCTAAGCTCTACTTAAATTTGTCGGTGCAAACGGCTATTAATTGCAAGGCAAGCTTTTTGCTACTTTCTGTTCCATTAATTATAAGGGCAGATATTGTTTCGCTTTCCTGCATTTGATTTCCCGTAGCTACCGCTAATTAATTTGTGCTTTGCTGCTTGCGTTCCCGTTAGGCCAATCGCTACCTTGTCCATGTAGCGTAATTCTACTTCCACATCTTTCGCCGGAAGGAACTTGAGGTTGCGGAGATAATCTTGCCACCCTCACAAACAACACTATACGTCGGCAAGTGCGACAAACGAAATTGGTAAAATAATCTTTCTTTGCTGGCCGGCCAGGAAGGAATTTCAAGGGACGTAACAGTTTGCATCCCGGAATGAGTGTCGCTCAAAAAAGGAAAGATATAGTGGGAAGTTGGTTGTTCGGAGAGAACCGTCAAGTCCCGTCAATTAGCGTAGGTTGGTTTTATCTTTGTGCGAAATGCTCATTGAACCGTAAGCGAACTTGGATCAAGGACCTGTCAATTAGCACAGGGTGGTTTTATAGTCTACACTCAAAGCGTGTTAATCGTTCATTTTTTTGGAGAAAACTCGCGCTGATACGTTGACCAAGTTAAAATTGAAATCGCGGGCGGATCAAATTCTTGTGACGAGTTAAGGGATAATTTGCGATGAAATATTGTTGCGGCTTGGACATTTTAACCTACAAAAATTAAAACTGCGTGACCTTAAACAAACAAGAATTGCGAGACTGTATACACGCTTTTACTTCATACCCACTTAATATTTTTGTGTAATTTTGCTCTATTGTCAATTTTAAGGTGGCAGTGTTCAGCCCGAAACGGCACACTTAATAATAAATCATTCAAACTTCTCAAAATGGGTAACGTTGCCTTCGTTTAAGCGACCGTATCTCTTACGGTACCGTTTTAAATACAAATAAATGGTTAGGAGGAATCGGCACAAATTCCTGTCTCGTATAATGAATGGCAGCCTTGATTGGTAGTTCACATTTTACGGTCACTCTAAATTAGGTGAGCCCACTGCGCCTGTAGATATCGTAAAAAATATAATGGACCACAACATGAACTTCAATAAGTTCGCTCTTCTAATTTTTAAGGTCACATAATTTAATCTCGCGCGTTTAAAACTTCCGTTATTGTTCCTATTTATCGTAATAATTTTTAATTCGCAAATTATCGCTTGAAATTGAAGGCCACTATTGTTCGTATTTACCGTATTAGTTTCCAAGTCGCAAATTATTCCTTGTAAATGAGGGCCAACAAAACTTTAATCCATACAATTACACTTTTCGCATTTGTTTTACATGTACCTCGACATGTACTTAACTTGGCTACTAATTCGATTACAAAAAAAAATTCAGCCAATTTAGCGTTTATGTTTTTTGTTCAAATTACCTACTACTGAAATCTAGCCTAGTTAAATGATAAGGAAACAATGGCTGTATATGTATATATTTATACAAGAAACCTAGAAGAAGTCATTTTTGATTTTCGTGGACGCTAGAATACCTCCAGAGAAACCAAAAAATTAAAAAACCAAGGTGGAATTGTCTCATGTATCAACTTTAAGAAGGCAGCGTAATGTACTTGAAACATCATGTATTCCGCTTTCTGTACAATTCTGTACAATAATTCTAGAACGCCGTCATTTTTAAACGTGTATAGGTAGTTAAATAGAGCACAGAGATTCACGATAGTCAGTTTCCAAGTTTCCACAGCTAAGTAATTGTTGGCGTGATAGATCAGTGAGATCTGTTCCATATCGAGCTATGAAATGACAAAGTAACAATCACAGAGCTTGAATGATATATAACTTGCAAGATGAGTTATATAAAATCAATAAGAAAAAGACTCGTTCAAGTATTAAATCAAGAATCAGATATGTCCAAGACTTAAACCCTGCGGAACACTATAAGATAGGTAGATGCGTTTCATGCCATATGATATTGGTATCTCTTTTCAAATTTACTTTCCTTTAATGACAGCTACAAACACTGGGCGGTAGCCAAGCTTAGCGTGATGCTGTGAATGGCACAGCCGCAAATATGACGATGGCATGGTTAGGGATGATCCTAATTGGATTTCGGATGTTATTTCAAATTTAAACGCTCGGAAAATGGGTACGGCAATTCTCATAATAAAAAGACATGGAATCGCACCGCAGCAGTTTCCCCACATTATACAATAATAATTAAGTCGTATTTTACATTAAATCGGATTAACCCCGTCGAGGAGGAGAGCAAGAAACGAAAGGGACCGTTTAATTTTATTGAAAATTATGCCGATTAAAATACTACCGAAAATTAAATATGTAAACGAGTACAACGAATGGCAGTGTTTATATTCCAAAATTTGCTTCGAACCGGATTACTTAGTCAGTTACTGAAGTGTTCCCCGTCGTAAATCTAAATAATTGGCATAATAAGAAACTGGGTTGAACCGAAAGGCATTCGATCACGATATCTTACATTAAATTCCATTATTGATTCACCTCGAGTTGTGCTAAATTAGACGTTACTAAATTTAGAAAGACAAGCACCAAGGTAATTTTGCCTATTGAGGATTGCACCATCGCATTTCACACAACTCGAGGTGAAGGAAGCTGTAATACGCTATCATCATGAACATACACTGTCATGACTAATATTTTACACAATTAGTGGTTTTGTCTTTATTGTTTCTTTGTATAGGTATTTTAGATTTAAACCTTTCTTACAGAAACACAAATCATTGGTTCCTGAAAAATTGAGAGGGAAGTTTTGCTTCAAAAGAACCTTTTGGTTCAATAGATATTTCCATTGCATCTTTGTTAACGCCACAGTGCAGAATTCCACCAACTCAAAAATCATTTTGCCATTATAGAAATTAATTTTGGTATAGTTGATTAATATTCGAATATACTGTTGTGAGACCTAACCTTTACTTCTGGGAATCCCACGATTTACCTCTAGCTAGCTCAGTTGTAATTAAAAAAAAACAACAAATTTTTACCCGCATCTCAAGGTCCAGCTGGATTCTGCCACCCCACAGCATTCCAACAATGACATAAATAGGTGGCTTAACCAAATCCTTAAATTCCAATATGAAACTTTACCCCCAGATTTAATCAACTTGAAACAAAGTAAGAGACGCCGACAATTACCTCTCCTTGACTCTAATAAACAAAACCTGGATTGCAATGACTGGTTTAATTTCAAACAAAAAATTGCGTAAATTTCTGTTTTACAAATTGTTACAATTTTAAACAAATAAATGACACACACAAAAAAAAACAAATTACTCAAACATTACAAAAAAAACAAGACAAAACAAACCACTAACTACTACTTACTTTTAAAATTAGTCCGAAAAACGTACTCCGATAAAAAGAGGTATCCGTACACAAACACGCAAACCAAACACTCAAACACCGACGTCTTCTCTCTTCGGGTACCCACAAATTCAAAACTTCCGTGTTTCCGCAAAATAAAACAAAAAACAGAACGGCGACAAACTTCTTAAACTTTTCAAAAATTCTTCTTAAACGGCAAACAAAATTCAAATTAAACCTGGATCCACTACGCAAGAATCTTCCACAAAATTCAAAAATAACGTAACCGAAGAAGCGCCGGTTGGCTTTTTCACGACCAAAAGGCCCCGCTCTCTTCAAAAATTTCCTATTTAAGCCAAAAGCCCTTCTCCTTTCTTCAACATCCCGCCCGCCAATCACGCGAAGCGTCGATTTTTCAACTTCTTGCCAAACGGCACGTACGCCCGGCAATTCTGCGAAGAACCTTATCTCTACTTCGCGCTATACCTCGTTAACGGCAAATAAAATTTAAAAAAGAAATTTACATCGAAAAAAAATTCTAGGAATAAAATAAAAACAGAACACTTCTAAGAAATTGAACCAAAACTATAACATGAAATTTACGCAATCCTTTTTTGTCTCAAATTATTAATAACCCCCCCGGTTAATTAATTGAACTAAACAAAATTGTCACATCCAGACGCTCTATAATTTCTTTCAAGTTACAACTAAACAAAATAAACACAACATTTTCCCCCTTTAAATTGAACACAAAAACACAAAATTACAATCCTCCCCTGACTATGAAAACAAAACAAAATATTGGAATTACAGGGTTTTTTTTTTTTCAATTTACCAATTAAAACTTTAAAAAAACTTCGGGACCTGCTTTAGGTATTCGGACACGATCGCCTAACACAGCTCCCTAGTCATTACTGAAACCCCGCACGGTGACGTCACCAGCTGAGCCTGAGAAATTTCAACATCCTAGTATAAAATTTTAAGAACTACCACTAATTTACTGTAACTCTCCAACCCTTAGCTAACTATTCAAATGCCGGATAGATCGAACCATCTTCGGCATTGTTTCAACCTAGGTCCGACCTATTCCAGCAGTTAACCTAACCTATCATCCCTAATCTAAAATTAAATCAAAAATCAAACTGTCGCACTGTACTGTCAACCAAATACGCCTGGGAACCATCCCTATCATTCCTAATCTTTTTCCTAAACTTTTTCCATTCTCGCTTTTCTTTTCCTCCCCCCTTTTCTAAATTAATCCAGGGCTTCTCTATAAAAATCCCACACATAACATAATCTCTTAATTCTTCAATTACAACAATCCGTTTACCCTTTTCACTCATAATTAAATTATTCAAATAATCAATGCCTACTACTTCCAAAAACTCACTACTCCTAACTCTTTTAATCTTATCCTGCTTCCTACAATCCTCATCCTGCTCAAAGCTACACAAATTCCCTTCATTCTCAATCGATAATTCCAATTCTACGTCTCCTACTACCCTATCATAATAAAAATTCCTCCAAAAATCCTGAAAATAATTCTCCCTTATCTGGTTATCTAAAATCTCATAATTAGTTCCTATCTCCTTCCCGCCTATTCCTTTCCTTGATAAAACGTCCACACATACATTATTATTCCTTTTTAAACTATTACTCCCTTTCACATACTTAATCTCAAACAAATTCGCCTGTAAATTTCTACCCCTACAATAAATCTTATTATCCACAAAACTCTTCGCTATTATATAATTCAAATCCCTATTCTCATCTTCTATTTCAAACTTCCTATAATTCACGCAATACAACTTCACCTTCAATTCTGGTTCCCTACCAGTTCCTGCAATAAAATAACTACCTACTTCAACCCTATTTTCAACTAAAATCCCTTCATCTTCTTTCTCTTGTACGACTTCTTCATCTTGCCTATGAACTTTTTCAATCTCGACTTCTTCCTTAACTTCAACTTCTTCTTTAATTACCATCTCATTTGATCGCTTCTTTCTCATTAAT